GCGATAGGCCCATTTGAGAAGATGGGCCTAATTTAGAAAATTGGGCCATTATAGGGTTTTTAGTTAAACCATTAGTGGACTTGGAAATATTAAAAGGATTTGGGCCTTGGATATGACCCACACCATAGCAGGGGTAGAATAGTCTTTTACCCATAGAGAATCTCCAACAAAGTGTTTAATTGGTCATGATAGTCGCGTAGTATCTGGAGTAGTAGATAGTACTACCTCGCACGAGTTTCAACAGATTTGAGAGGTGAGTTTCCCTTCAGTAGGAACGGGTCTAAGGCACCAATGTCGCCCCGTTTATGTAGTTGTAGTATGTCGGTGTAAGCCCGATGTCGGGGATAGCCCGATGCAGTTTATATGTTCTGGACATCGGTCCGATGTTGGGTTGGTCCCGAGAAGTAGTTATGTATGCTTGATTTCTTTGTGATTCATGCATGTTTGTGCTATGTGTTATATGTTACAGACTTCGGTCTGATGTCGGGCAAGCCTGATGCAACATATATGATTATGTTATATGCTCATGTTTATGTTATGTATAGTTTATTCCGGACATCGGTCCGATGACGGGTGGGGCTTGATGTAATGGGTGGGGCCCAAGTTATCCTGGAATTCGGTTCGATGCCGGACGAGGCTCGATGCAGTGGGCGGGGCCCAATTTATGCTGGATTTCAGTTCGATGTCGAGTGGGGCCCGATGAAGTGGGCAAGTCCTAGTATGTGTTATGTGTGTTATTGTATGTATGTGGTAGTTTGGGGGAGCTCACTAAGCTTCGTGCCTACAATTTTCAGTTTTTGTTTCAGGTACTTCTTCTAGCAAAGGGAAAGACTCGGGATGATTGCATGGCACACACCACAACTTTCAGCCTGGGATCAATTGAGACTCTGATATTTTCTCATTTGATTTTGATATAGTATTTGATATGAGATTTTGAGATACTCGGCACTTGGTTTTCTTTTGATTATGGATGATTATAGTTTTTGATAATGTTTTTCAAACAAAATTTTTGGATGTTACATATCACTACCATACTATTCTAACATACCATAATATATCAAATAATAACATGGTTTTTAGGGTCTACTTACTGGCTCCGGCTGATCGTACACTTTACATCCTCCTTTAGTATTTTGAAAACCTTTTTAAAATTATTTTGAAGATCTTTTCCTTGGTTTTAGATTGGATTCACACGAGTGTTCCTCCAATTCACTCAAACCATGGCTTTGATACTAACTTGTAACATCCATAAATTTCATAAAAAATTTAAACTTTTTCAAACATCCAAAAACCACTATTTATTACAAATTGTTTTCAAAATAGTTTACCATCAGAGTAATCCCAGAAATCATAACACAAAATGTGAGGAGGTGCACGATCAAGCCTTCACCTTCCTGGGATCATCCGATGTACCTAAAACAAAATCTAAAACTGTAAGCCCTAAGCTTAAAGAGTTTCCCCCAAAAGACCAACACCATACAAACCAAAACAATATCATAAACAAACCATATGCATATAGTGCCTTCAACCTCCCTGGACCGCTCACAGAACCTTTAACATGACTGGATCGCCTCACCGGGCCTTCAGCCTATCTGGACCGTTCTTTGGGCCTTCGCCCTGACTGGTACGCCCCGCTGGGCCTTCAGACTATCTGATTCGCCTTAGGTCTATTAGCCTTCAACACACAGCAGGACCGCCTCAACCCACCCTCCATCACATAACATCACATAAATATCAAACGTTAGGTAGCATATACAATAATCGTACAGGACTAGCCGATCGTCAATCATAGCATTATCCTATATACTAGGACACATATCTAATAGATCACCACACATAGCATCATATGATAAACTTGGATACAATCCAAAAGGCCTGACATTGGTGCCTTCAACCCATAAGTACAGTGAGGACAACTCACCTCTCAAGAAGTGCTGAACTCGTAAAATCCAACTCCAAAAACTCAACTCCAGACTCAACAGCCTACAACCAACATATGACCGTTCTATCAAAACATCCAAATACCTAAAATGTCCTTATAGTCAAACTTGGTTAACCATGGTCAAAGTCAAAGTCAACAGTCAAGGTCAACAGCCCATGTTGACCCAACTTGTCGAGTGCACATGCCAACTCGTCAAGTTCCTCCAGTACTTCAGAAAACGAGAAATCCCAAACTAACTCGTCGAGTTGCTAGAACAACATGTCAAGTTTCTATAATATTCAGAGAAATGGGAAAAATCCGAGCCAAGTTGCCGAGTCCACCGGGTGACTCGTCGAGTCCTTCAGTTTCCCAGAAAAGTGGGAAAACCCCAAACCAACTCGTCGAGTTGTCAGAACAACTCGTCAAGTTCTCCTAGTCTTAAAGCATTCAGCCAATTCCCAAGTGGATCTAGTGCCACAAACCATAGATTTGGTCCCTTAGAACTGAAATACCATGTAATGTTGCCAACTTTATGTCCATGCATGGCATCAAGAGGCTAAAACACTAAAATCAAGCTTATTATGGGAGTTAGAGCAAGAAGGAGGGCCAAGACTTGATAAAGTTTGTGACTTTAAGTCCACGGAGGCCATAAGATGTCTAGATTTGAAGTCATAGCTCCCACAATGAATAACATCATCACTCCATAATTTTAGCTTTGGTTTAATGTTGCCATTATTCCCGTTATTTGCCTATATGTAACATCCCACTTTCATCATAATTTTAAGGTCCATTGATCGTATTTGTAACATCCCACTCTCATCATATTCTTCCGCCATCTCTGTATTTTCCTAAAAAATATTCATTTGGGTAAATTACACCAATTGTCCCTCATACATATGTCAGAAAGCGTGTTTAGTCTTTATTTTCAAAAATTAACTTGGACCGTCCCTCGTTTGCTTAAAACTTGCATGCTTTGTCTCTCTGGACATAAAAATACCCTTTTGCCATTTTTTTTTTGATATTTTTATTAATTATAAATTATTAATCTATTAAAAATATTTGATTAAATATAAGAGTAAAATACTGAAATGGTCCCTATGGTTTGGTCAAAACTACACGTTTGGTCCCTAACTTTTTTTTTTTGCACTCGGATCGTCCCTGTAGTTTGATTTTTGTTGCGTTTTTCGTCCTTTACATACATAAAGTTAGGGACCAAACGTGCAATTTTGACCAAACCATAGGGACGAAAAACGCAACAAAATCAAACCACATGGACGATCCGAGTGCAGAAAAAGTTAGGGACCAAATGTGCAATTTTGACCAAACCATAGGGACAACTTCAGTTATTTACTCTAAATATAAACACCATCACCACTATTGATTACAGGTCAAATTTCTTCCCAGTTTTTTTTCTCAACTTCAGCTACCACCACCTATCACCACTTATGACCACCGTCAACCACCACCTATCACCACCAGAAACCGCCACTTTCACTCCTATTTCTCCCCCACCACCTATTTTGGGAGGTATGCCTTATGTCCGACCACCATTGAACACATCCCACATTTTTCCTTCCCAAAAATCCAACGACCCCCTAAATTTAATAAACAAGAAGCTGAAATCAAATCTAACTAAACCCTTAACCTGAAAATCAAACTATAAACCTGTAAATAGAAACCCACGTGTTGCAGTATAAGAAAGAGGATTCAAAATCAAACGCGTTGGTGGTCACCCCAAATCCTGCTGCTATCGAAGAGCCTCATATCGATGATGCTGACCACCAATAAACGTGAAGAATCGGATCTCCGACAATAACCCCTTCATCTTTCACACTTTATTCCTTATGTTACTGATCCTCCCCAAACAGGTGGTGGAGCTCGATTAGAAACCCTAGGTGGCGGCTAAAAACCCTAGGCGGCGACAACGTCTCCATCTCTATGTAGAACCCATCGGAAACCACCTCTCCCCCCTCTACAATGCCATTGATCTGGACTTTACTCTTTTTTTTTTTTCAACAACATCTCCATCAATGGTTTGGATTCAAAGAAAGGTGACAGGTGCGATAGAGACGGAGAGGGGATCACCGGAGTCACTATGATGAGTATATTTCATCTAAACAAGACATTGAAAAAGCAACAATTACAACAAAATCGAAAATCCCCTAACCTTCTTCCGTTAAAGAAGCAGATCGAAGATTAGAGTCCGAGAAGAGGCATCAATATGAAATTGATATCCTCGTTTCGGGTTGAGGGAATTGGCTGGAGATGGTGATAGATGGAGAGAAAGGTTCACTGACGGCGGAGACGATGGTGGTGGCCGACGATTTGTGTCTTTATTTTCCCTCTCATCGAATCTGTGTGTTTATTTCCGATTAAAAGTGTGGGGAAAGTGAAGAGACTTTATTTTTCTTTTTAAAAAATTATAATAATAATAAGGGTAAAAACATTAAATTAATTATAAAATAAAAACACAAGGACATTATTGTCATTTCAATTCTGAAACAGACTAGTTCGTAAAAATATCGTCTTTGAGGGATGAAGCATGCAAGTTGAAACCAAACGAGGGACAATACGAGTTAAATTTTGAAAATATGGACTAAACGTGCATTTTAACACATGCTAAGAGGAACGAATGATGTAATTTACCTTATTCATTTAAATTGGCCATTTAAATTTCTTGTGTTTGATAACCAAAAAATCAATATTATTTTGCTTTTATTGGTTTGAAAAAGAGCATTTAATTCTGTTTATGTATTTGTTTGTAACCTGTACATTATAATATCTAGCCCACTTGTGTTGGAAGAATTAGTCGCAAAATTAAAGTTCCATCCGTTTACTCTCAATCATGAATTATAGTATTTTAAAACCTATACATTATAATATCTAGCCCACTTGTGCTGGATGAATTAAAGGCGCAAAATTAAAGTTGCATCCCGTTGACTCAAGTTCAATCATGAATGAAATATATCCATTAAAATAATAATCAAACTAGGCAGCAGATTTTGAGCATTGAAAATTACAAATTCACTTTGTTTTGATTCTTATATCCACCCGCCCTTAAATCCTTGTTGTTTTCAAGATGAAGCCGATGAAACTTTTCCAATTACTGATCTTAACTTTGTTAACATCATCAATAGAAGCTCAGCTCACCAAGCCACGTTGTAATACAGCCTGTGGGGATGTCCAGATTACATATCCATTCGGGATTGGACGAGAATGTTCTGCCAACGAATGGTACACAATCAACTGTAATTCCTCCACACCGTATCTATCTGCACTCAACAACGTAGAGGTATTGGTATTGGATATAAACTTGGCAACTGTCACTGTTAATATCTCATTAATTAGTGTTGATTGCCAGAATCCAGTCCAGTATAGCCATCTTATTCTAAACACCAGCTATGGCAATAGCCCCTTCCTATTTTCCGCATCCAATAACATACTTATTGTTAATGGGTGCGGCAGTGCCGCCATCATGGAGAACGGCACTATTGTTGGTGGTTGTTCCACAACTTGTGGAACAACCACTAACACTGTTAGTGTCAGTACTGATACTGACACAAACAACTGCTTTGGCATCGGTTGTTGCCAAACTACAATTTCTCACGATCTCCACTCGTTTACCTTAAACCTAACAGGGATAGAAAAGCAAGATAGAGATGGAACGTGCAGCGGGTCTGCTTTCTTGGTGGCAGCAGATTATGCAGGAGAATTTTCGAGCCAATTTAACGACAATTTCGCTCCTATCTCACTTTCATGGAACGAAACATTCGATGAAAATTCAATAAGATGCAACGAGAAATGTGGAGATATATCGATTCCTTACCCTTTTGGGATTCAAAGAAGTTGTTCAGAGAGTGATTGGTTCAATGTTGATTGCAACTCCTCGACACCTTACTTATCCGCATTCAACAATTTAGAGGTTTTGGGTTTTAGTTTGGAAAATGAAACACTCACTGTTAATGTTCCAATGTTTTCTGATTGTGAAAATCTAGTCTATAACAACAGCCTTAACCTAAACGGAAGTCCCTTCCGATTTTCCGGATCTTTCAACATACTTGTGGTTGAGGGGTGTGGTAGTGCTACTATTATGTATAATGGGAGTGTTGTTAGTGGTTGTTCAACAACTTGTGGCAATGACATTGTTATTGAAAAAAACAACTGCTTTGGCATCGGTTGTTGCCAAACTATGATTCCTGATTATCTCCAGTCGTTTACCTACGATGTAACAGGTTTGAAAAGGCAGACTGGAAATAAGAGTTGTGGGTCAGCCTTTATGGTGGATATGAAGTCTTTCCTTGAAGGAAGAATGTCACAACAATTTGTTCCGGTGACACTTGGGTGGTGGTTGGATCCTGGATTATTAATAGCAGCATGTGATTGGTGTCGACGTTATGGGGGGTTTTGTCAACAAAATTATACCGAAGGTGGGGGCTGGAGCAGGAGGTGTATATATCGTGAAAGAAGGAATACAGAATCACATAGTGGTGTTATTGAAGGTAAGTTATTCTCTGAACTTGCCATCCATGTATACATTAATACATACCCTATGTTCTGCTGTTTAATTTCTATAATTTTTCTAAATTCGATTAGAGAAGCTGAGTTATTTAAAGTTATGACATCCTATTCGAAATTTTGATACTTCTGTTTTGTTGGTAAATTTTGTAAGGAAAACTCGGCAAGTGAAATAGACTTTTAGTTAAACTGACAAGCTAGTGCTTGTGTTTTTGTCTTTTCTTAATGCATACTTTCCCACAATCGTATTTCATCTATTTGAATATTGATATTTAATTTCTCATTTGAATATTGATACTAGAAACAGCTGCAACTTCATGTAATTTCACCCAAACTTTTATTCTTGTGTTCACACTATTTTTCTTCAAACAGCGACTTTTTGTTTAGCAGCTTTCTTTGAATTTCAATATTTCATTTCAACCTCCTTTTTTATTTTTATTTTTTATTTTGTTGGGTTTGATTTCTCAAATATAAAAATCGAGAAACATGGTCCCTCTCTTGGACTATTCACGCTATCGACTCGTTAAGAACGTGTGGTACCTATGAGTTCAGTTACACCACATAGGAAAACCAATTCCAATCAAATATAAAATCCCCAAATATAAAAATCGTCACAAGGGTTGGGGGCATCAACTTAAAACTTTTTTTATTCAAATTTAAATCATATTGCTACGTAAAAAAAGAAATCTATCCATTATTGGAAGCATTTCTCCCTTGTCTTCCACTTGGGTAACCAATGACTCATTCAACTACTTAACCAAAGTTAATTCACCTAAAAACTATAAAAATAATACTTTCTACTTGGTATGCAAGTGTATACGTAGGTTCTTTTCTATTTTTATTTAAACAGTAATTATAAGACCTATCTAGTACAAAAGTTTATTTTAAAAAAACATATGAAGATTTTAAAAAAACATATGAAGATCTAAAAATTTAGGAAGTTTGAATTGATAAGAAAAAAAAATATATTGAATTATTGAAATGTAATGTTTAATTTGTTATTTTTAACTTTTTTATTTCACTTTTAAATTTAAACAAATAATTTAAATAAATAAACAAATAAAATAATCGGATTCATTTGGGAATTTAGAAATTAAAATGAAAGTTATATTAATGAAATTGATATACATTTATTATTATATTATGAATATTATGTAGAATTTAATAAAATAGGAAAAAAAACAATAAAAATGACAAGTGAAAAAAACATTAAACGAAAAAAACTTAGAAAATAATATGTGTCAAATGCAATGAGAATAATACATGTGGCAAAAAAATCTTTATCTATTAAGTTATATACATGTTTCTTGACTTCTTTTAAATTTATTGAGAAAGAAATACCTTTCATAACTTGATATGTTAAGTTTCAAGTGTTTATTATATTATTTTGGTCCGACAACGATAATAAACATATTTATGTGTTGGGGTTGCAAAAAAAAAGTGTTTATTCTAATGTGGTATTGGTACTCAGCAGTCAGCACTTTTTGATAAATTGTTTTGTGTAAACATATTAAAAACTCCTTATTAAGGGTAAAAATGAATTGCACTTTTACTTTTAATTTATGAAAAGTAATGTAAAATATCATTTTTGCTCACTTCACATGTATAAACAAAATTTGTCAAGACTAAAAAACTTGTCAAATTATTACTATCTAATACTGATAAACTAATAAAATAAATAATTCTAAAATTTTATTTTGTATACCGAATAGGCTAATAAATATTCTTACAGAAAAACATGAGTGTTTTAAATAAGAACACCCCCGCCCCCTCCCTTTTATGTTCAATAATTATTATATTTTTATGTTTAGATTTTCATAAAATTTCTTTTCAATCTATTTTAAAATTATGTAATTTTTTTGTTCAAAAGCCTAAGGGTATTCATAATAGTTACTTCTTCCAAACTTATCTATTTTGACTTAATAAAAATCTATATTTAAATCTCTTCTTGTAAGTTTTGTTTTTAATAATTAACATTCACAAACACAAATATATATATATATATATATATATATATATATATATATATATATATATATATATATATATATATATATATATATATATATATATATCTTTCTGTTACTTAATAAAGACTATGATTTAGTTGCACTTCAATAGTTATGGATCAATAATAGTCTTGCGAAAACTGATGATGTTTATGGCCGAGTTGTGTAATATTAATTATTTGTATTATATTTTCCTCCTTTCAGGAGTTAGTATAAGCATGGGGTCACTTCTCCTAATGGTGATCGTTTATGTATTATACACAACAAATAGGAAAACTAAAGCCAATATGAAGACTAAAAGGTACTTTAAACGCAATGGTGGTATACTTCTTAAACAACAACAAGCAGCTGATATTGGTTTAGTTGACAAAACCATACTTTTTACATCCAACGAATTATCAAAGGCCACTGATAATTTTAATGAGAATAGAATTCTTGGTCGAGGAGGTCAAGGTACAGTGTATAAAGGCATGTTATCCGATGGAAGGATCGTAGCAATCAAGAAATCAAAGGTGGTTGATGAAAGCCAACTAGAACAATTTATTAATGAAGTGGTCATTCTTTCACAAGTCAATCATCGAAATGTCGTTAAACTATTGGGATGTTGCCTAGAAACCGAGGTCCCACTACTTGTCTCCGAGTTCATCTCGAATGGTACCTTGTATGATTTTATTCAAGATGAAACTAACGAGTTCTCAATCTCTTTAAACATGAGATTACAGATCGCCACAGAGGTTGCAGGAGCACTTTCTTACTTACATTCATCAACCTCCGCTCCAATATACCATAGAGACATTAAGACTACTAACATACTTTTGGATGAAAAGTATAGAGCAAAAGTTTCTGACTTTGGAACTTCACGGTTTGTGTCATTAGAACAGACTCACTTAACTACATTAGTCAAAGGGACCTTTGGTTACTTGGATCCAGAGTACTTCCAATCAAGTCAATTTACTGAAAAAAGTGATGTATATAGTTTTGGAGTTGTTTTGCTTGAACTCTTGACAAGAGAAAAACCAATATCCTTGACTAAATTTGGGGAACATAGAAGTTTAGTTGCATACTTTATGGAAGCCATGGAAGAAGGTCGTGTTTTATCTATTTTGGATGCAATGGTTGTTAAGGAGGGTTCAATGAGTGAGTTGTTAGCCATAGCTAATTTGGCATTGCGATGCTTGAATTTGAATGGGAAAAATAGGCCAACAATGAAAGAAGTTTCTATCGAGTTAGGAGGCATGAGATTATCACATGTGCCATTTACGATTCAAACTAGTTTTGGACATGTAAAGAATAGTGAGGAATTACCACAAATATATAGTGGATCAACATCAACATCATTCACATTCAATGACCTTTGTAGATGAATTTTGGTAAACCTAAGAATTCTTAATTATTTCTTAGTTTATTTCAATATCATTATTTGTTTATAAATAAGTTGTATGTGAAAGAGTATTTTATAGGAAACCCTTGTTTCCTCTTTCTCCCCTATGTGTATACATAAACATTTTAGTATATCTGAAAATTTGTTTGAATTGTTGAAGAAAACATCATGAGTGCAGCACCATTTTAGTTATAACCCTACAAACTTTAAACAAAATCACAATGGCCGACAAGCACCTGATACCCAATAGTGACGAACTTTTAGAGGAATCGTTTGGAGTAACTATGTTTTCCAACCTTTATTTGGGATCAGGGTAAAACCTATCAGATGTGGCAAAGAAACATTTAGAACACATTCAGGTCAATCCCAAGTTGTGTCTTTGGGGCATTTTATCACTTCGGTAGGTGTACATGGAGATGATAGTTTGGTTTTTTTGTATATATTTTAGAATTCGTTTTCTTTTTAGTTTTAGTATTTTTAATATTATTTCTGCATTAGATCGTTAGATTTATTGTTTTGAATATTTTTATTCGTTTAAGCTATTTTTGTGTAGATTTGTACGAGAAAGATGGTATTTTGGAGAATCATCAAAGCCACATCGAATACCTTGCAACCACGATTGAAGTCTCATAGCAAAGTCCGTGAGCAAAAAGAAAATCAAAACGATATAAATTAATTTTTGGATTTCAACAGCATTGCACGACTTTATTCAAGTGATTAGATGGAGAGGAAAACGTTGTCCGATTGAGCTAAAATTTTACGGACGTCTTCCCAACTCATCAATATTCGACCTCACAAAAAACGAGCGGATTTGAACAAGTTTTGATATGATTTTTGGCATCGTGAACATCAAAGCAGGAAGCTGCCAGCTTTAGCTTTGGCAGCTGGCAACCCAAAACGTAAAGCTTTTGGCATCCTATTTTTTGATTTTAAATAGCCCAATATCAGAAGCTCAAGTGTATTTTCCAGGAGCCCTGAAGCAATTTAATTGGGCCTGTCTTGTGTGGAGTAGAAAAAATCGCAACATTAAAATAGAAAGAAAGGTAAGAGGAGGGTGTGGCGCCTCTTTGGTGTGCAGATGTCAACGGGGGAAAACAGGGTGAGGATTGCATCCCCTGCCCCCACCCCCGGAATTTTTCAGTTGCCCCGTCCCCGCCCCCGAAATCTCTAGCCTTCCCACTTGGATTATAGATGGAGTTTTTGGAACAACAGAAGTGACGATATCATGAAGTTGCGTCATCTTCGTTTCAAAATCGGTATTAGTATAATTTCTATCATTTTTATTGTTAGTATTATTTTTTGTAGTTAGTTTTTATATTTCAATGCTAGGTGAATTTATAGAACAATAGTTGATTAGGACTAGTTTTGCATGTTTTTATGGCATTCTATGAAAGCATTTTGTAGAGATGTGAATGTTTAATCAGTTGGTTAATTTCTTGATTACGTAATAGATCTTCAAATTAATAAGCAACAAATGGTTCTTGATTACGTAATAGATCTTCAAATTGGTTAATTTCTTGATTACGTAATAGATCTTCAAATTAACAAGCAACAAATGGTTCTTATGTTGTTTTCAATTCACACAATAATAAAAATATTTTCTCTAAAATGGTAGTGAAAACCTTTTGATTCCTCTTAGATTTGGTGGCTTTTAAATCTTAATGCTAGTTAATTTTCATTAATTATATGTTTAATGGAAATCGTGACTTTAACTAAGAAAATATATTATTAGTTTCTCTAATCATTGTATTAGCTAAGAAAAGTCTAAGTAACCCAGGGTGAGGAACTTGGTCTGATGAATCCTTTGCTGAGCAGCTCATTGAGCTGGCTGGACAACTCTTGCATTTCTGATGGTGCTAGGCAATATGGGGACTTAGCTACGGGAGTAGCCCTAGGGATTAAGTCGATGCGAAACTCGACCTGACGCTCTGGAGGAATTCCCGGAAGCTCTTCTGGAAAGACATCGGGAAATTGCGGACTTCGGGAATGCTCTTGAGGTCTTTAACTTCTTGTTTCTCATTTATAACATGAGATTTTGGTTACAGGGTTAGTCCCACACTCGCGTATTCTGGTGGAGTGTTACCAAGGTCATGTCTCCAATCTTTAAGAATAATGAACTTACAACTAATAATATAGAAAATCTTGTTTATGGTTAACATGAATCCTTTGTAAATATAAAATATAACATTTTATGATGAGATTCACGAGTTTCCTTGCTTTAGTTTGAAAACTATCTCTACAAGTTGATTTCTTAATCGGTTGGTAAAACGGTTTTCTGTGTTAAAAGCATATTGAACATGTAAGTATTTCATACGAAATAATAGGTTTTGAGTACAAGTTCCCATGTACTTTTGCTTGTATCCCCCCTGAAATCGTGAAAAACTCAGAAAAAGGTGTAGGGGTATGAACTCACCTGACGAGGGTGATTCGAATGAACGGACGGTATAGGATGCTAAGTGTCAAGTGAGGACTTGACCACGCACGCGAATCGTATTTAACATGTAATGATACATTTAAGTATCTAATTAGTCATTTAATAACTAATTATACAAGTAAAGGCATACTAATGCACGAAACACTTTACCACAAGTGCTAGGATTACCAAGGGTTTCATATAAAGAGAGTATGGCCTCACTTTGGAGTTTACTCTTCAAATGGTCGCCCTTAGGGGTGTTTACGGTTTTTGAACCATTCCCCCATGAGTTTACGGCCGTAAACTCATGGGTATGGTGTGTTTGTGTGCTTCAAGGTCTTATGCTTCACAAAGAAGGGTCCTAGGGTTGAATCAAAGGCTTAGGAAGTGGTTAGGGCTCGGAATGGCACACTTTTTGGAGTTTACGGTCCTTGGACCATGTTTCGGAGTTTACTGTCGTAAAAGCATGAGTTTATGGTCGTAAACTCATGGTTACTCCCTTCCTTTCGTGTTTTGTGGATCTTAGCTCATTCATGCAAGTTCCTAGTTCATTAGCCAAGCATTAGATGGAGTTTGGGGCATCAAAACCCCTATTTGGGGTGTTTACAGTTTTGCGAGATCCCAAAATCATAAACTCATGTTCATGGAGGTTTTTGGTGTATTTCAAGTGCTAAAGTCATCAAGGAAGGGATCTATGCTAGGTGTCAAGGCTTAGAAGGAACTAGGGCGCACTTTGGCACCCATATTAGGGTTTACGGCCCAAGAACACCTTGGACCGTAAACACCTTGTTCTTGGTGTTTCTTAGGTGATTCCTTGATATATATATATGGAAGTATAAAAAGCCTTAATATACTCCAGGATGGAATTACTTACTTTTAGGATGAAAGCTTGAAGATTCTTAGGAGAGAAATCGGAATTTGAAGAGAGAGAGAGAGAGAGAGAGTAGAGAGAGAAAGTTTCTAGAGTGCGAAAAGAGTGCGAAGGAAGGCCACTCAATCCTTATATAGGGTGAGTTTACTATCCAAGAGAGTTTACTGCCCAAGAGTGTTTACTACCCAAGAGTTTACTGCCCAAGAGTTTACTGCCCAAGAGTTTACTACCGTAAACTCCATGTTTACGGCTGTAAACTCCATCTTATGGAGTTTATGGCATGATTTTGGTGTTAGGGATTGAGTGGTTGCTTTCTAACACTTGTTCCTTAAGTGTATTGGCATCAGAATACTCAAACAGGCCTTAATTTAGCTAAATGGTTACATAAATGAATTTGACTTTCAATGAAGTGTTAGACTGTAGAAATTATACATACAAAAAATTTAGGTTCTCACACTTTATGAACCGAATTTGGACGCCTAAGTTTGGTGGAGTCAGGGACTTGGTCTTAGAAGAAGCCTACAAGTCCAGATATTCCGTGCATCCAGACTTTGACAAAATGTACTAGGATTTAAAAGTACATTATTGGTGGCTAAACATGAAGGCAGAAATTGCAACTTATGTGAGCAAATGTTTGACTTGTTCTAGAGTAAAGGCAGAACATCAAAAGCCTTCAGGTTTACTTCAACAACCGGAAATATCGGAATGGAAATGGGAGCAGATTTCAATGGACTTCATCACTAAGTTACCCAAAACTCCTAGTGGGTTCGACACTATTTAGGTAATAGTCGATAGATTGACTAAGTCCGCCCATTTCTTACCAATAAAGGAGAACGACAAGATGGAGAAGCTGACTAGAGTTGATCTTAATGAAATTGTCAGATTGCATGGAGTTCCAAATTCTATTATTTCTGACCGAGATAGTAGATTCACTTCACGATTTTGGCAATCTCTACAAAAATCCTTAGGAACACGTCTAGATATGAGTACAGCTTACCATCCACAGATTGATGGTCAGAGTGAGAGAACCATTCAGACATTAGAAGACATGCTCCGAGCCTGTGTAATAGACTTTGGAAATGCATGCGATACTCATTTACCGTTAATTGAGTTCTCCTACAACAATAGTCATCACACCAGCATCAAGGATGCACCGTTTGAGGCTCTTTATGGACGAAAATGTCGTTCCCCTATATGTTGGCTAGAAGTTGGAGATACACAATTGGCCAGAGAACGTACAAGTGATACCTTACGTACTGGACCAGAAATAATCCACGAGACAACTGAAAAGATCGTGAAAATTAAGGATCGATTAAAGGTTGCACATCACCGTCAAAAGAGCTAAGCTGACGTAAGACGTAAGCCTTTAGAATTTCAAGTTGGAGACAAAGTAATGTTGAGGATATCTCCTTGGAAAGGTGTATTTCAATTCGGGAAGCGTGGAAAACAAAACCCACGGTATATAGGACCTTTTGAAATTCTAGCAAGAATTGGTTTTGTTGCATACCAACTCAAGTTGCCTCAAGAGCTAAGTAATGTACACAATTTTTTTCACGTATCAAATCTCAAAAGATGTCTATCTGATGACACTCTTGTTGTACCTCTCGACGAGATACAAGTCAATACCAAACTCAACTTTGTAGAAGAACCTGTCGAGATCATGGATCGAGAAGTCAAACAATCAAAGCAAAGTCATATT